TTTATGGAAAAAAACATTGCATTTAATCACCCAATCAGCATGTTCAAATATATTATATAATTCCTAGTACCTATATTTATTTTATTTTATTTTTAAAACAAGTTCTATATTCCAACCAAATATTCAAGCAGCTAGATGTACGCAACTGCTATGTCAACTATGTCGTACAGTCATGGCATATTTACGGTGGGGGGGGGGGTCTTGGGTTCAACACCTCCTAGAAAAAAAACATGTATCTATGCACCAACTCATCATAGAAGTTTTTAATTAAAGTATTATTTATAAATTATAAGAAAATATCTAACCAGTATGTGTGTACGGAATTTTCGATAAACAAATCTTGTATTAAACATTTATGGCTCAATCTCTGGATACACTATTAAACAGATTTGTGGCCCAAACTCTGGGTAGTAAAAGATAAATAAATTTCTATTTTTTTCCAAGTAGATAAAATGTGGTCCAATTACCGATCACCCGATTATTATTATATTATAAATTACAATAAAATTATTAGTAAATGGTATTTAGTCTATAACCTGTGTCCAATTGTTAATCGAATGTGATAATTGTTGCGATGTTGTATGAAAATAAAAGTTAAAACAATTAACATTTTCTGAATACCATAATGTTTAATATATATTTTTTTAAATTATTAAGCCATCCTCATTCCTCACTGTAGTTGCATACACTATTCAATCAATAAATGCATTTATTTCATTCAGTTACTAAATATTTATAAAAAAGATTTTATGCATTTTATTTTTGTCATTTTTACTCAGTTAACGATAATAACAAAACTAACGTTCAAACTTATTGTATGCATATTAATATTAAACAATTGTGTTAATAATTTTACGTTGCGTTTTAACTTTTAATATAATATTATATATTATATTTACTTAAGTTAATATATATTTATATATTAGAATTCAAAATTCAAATTACTATATTATAGCCTCATATTATGAGTAAAGTATTTGTACAATTTACTGCGTGAACGTGAAAGTTAAAAATGTTATATTATTTAGACTATATTATCATAAAAAAAACATTCGAATAAGATCTTACGCACCAGCTTATAATCAACAATCAAATGTAGGTCGTTAGTCGTTACTGTAAGTATTAACACAAATTAGTTCATCTATACGGGAACGTATTATCAATTTCGCAAATTAAAATTATTTAACAAGGTTTTTTAATAATTGCATTAGGTACAGGTGATTTTAATTTTAACAGTTAAATATTGACATTAAATAATAATAATTTAATGCATAGGTATCTAATAATAAATTGTTGTATAAGTACGCGTTTGTTGATTGCAGTGTATGGGAAAAGTGACAAATATAAATACGTAATTAATGCATTTAAAGTTTAATTATTTCTATAGTTAATAATATTATGCATTGAGGCTTATCATTACTATTTAGTTCATCATTAATTTTGTTTATTTATGCAACTTTTTTATGTGTTAAATGACTATTAGAAATGAGAGTTTATTAGAAATGTTTAAATAACCTTCAAATCAGTTATTTAAAAATAACAGATAACGAGTCAACGATTTAATTTCCATAGTCATTTTTTTATATACTATACATTGTAAGCATGTTTGTTTTAAAATAAGTACATTATTAATTTTCTAAATAAATTACATATGAAAAATTAATGACTTTATTTTTTAAATTGAATTAGTCAATTGTCCACTTATCCTATTGGCATATTTTATATCAATATTAGCTATTAATTATTTCTTGTAGATACATTTATATGACATAGTACATATTAATTTTTATAGTATTACTACTGTAATAGTTAATACAAATTGGTCATAATTACTTTATAGCTCTTATTTAATGTTTTTTTTTTTTTAATTTTTCAAGAAAGTAAATTACATCACACATTTTGTAACAAAATTCAATATTAATTTAATATTGTAAAAAATTAATTCATATATTTTTTTTTTATAATATATGACTTTTCACATTATAAATCATTATTAAATTCATTAATTTCAATGTTTGTGATTTTATTTTATTTATTTATGAAAATTAATAATAATGATATTGGTTGACTCTAATATTTATAATATATTATAAATATTGTAGACATTAAACAAATGTACAATATTATCCTAAGTAATCAGCAATTTTAATGAAAGTTATTATTATTATTATTTTTTTTTTTTTAATTATACGAGTAAATAGCTACAGACTACGACTTACGTTTTTAATAATTGTTGTTTACATTTTACAGAATTTACGAGAAAAAAATTATAAAAAAAAAAATTTTGTGATAGAAACTATAGTAAAAAGGTTTACAATATGTTTATTATTCTGTTAGCTAACACCTATCTACTTTTTGTGCGAGACATAGTATAACGTCACTAATCAGTGATCAATGATCGAAAATATAACTTTAGGTACAGACACAAATACATGAATAGTTCAAGGGTTTAACGTTTAATCCCTTTCCCAATTTTTTTTATGTACGTGCCTGCATTAGTATATAAGTTCTAAATTGCATTGGTTACATCTTGTTAATTATTTAGACGATTAATATAGTTATGTTACATTTATATTTTTATCAAATTTAAGCTTTAAGTAAACTATAATAGTTTATTTGTACTTCATTGATTTACTAAAACTAAGAATATTGATAATTATAAAAATAATCTTAAATTCAAAATACGTAAACCTGTTGATGGGTAAAATATGGGTAAATGGGTAATATCTATGTAGACTAAGTTAGATATACTTAGATAATTTGGTACACCTATATGGTAGTCTAGTCATGTGAAGATTATAGATTAAATCTATATAATCTATAATCTTTAATTTATAATCTTATTATAAAATTTATAATAATTGGTAAATACTAAATAGTTTATTGTGTAATATAATAATATCAAATATGTTGAATTTATTTAATATGATTGAAATACTTACACCCATTTTTAAATCTCCTGAAAACGTATTATAATAAATTTATATTTAACCGGAATACTTATGGAATTTTATTTTATTAGATTGTGTTGTAATATAGTGATGTATTATTTCTTATTATTTATTAATATAAAGTTATCAACACAGAGTATAGGTGGTGAAATAACACAATAGTCACTCATTTACATTGGTTTGGTTATTTCATGAAAGCTAGTTTTTATTAATGTGATAGGCCACGACTTAGTTTTGAGTGATAGAAGTTTATCTGAGAAAAAAGTAACAAAAAAAAAAAATTTCATTGAAAGTCATGAATGTGTCAAATTCAAGTATTAAACATCATATAATAAACGGTAATTGTTTTATTAATTCAACGTAATTGAAGGTGTATAAGGTGCGTTATTTATATGTAGTTATATAGTATTAAATAGAAATTTAATAAATTAAATCATTTATGTAGTTTTGCACAGATATTATTTGGAAACCTGTATTGGTAATAAATTGTAAATTATTTATGCTAATTAATTTTTATAACTTATAACTGTTTAAATGTAATTAGTAATTATTATGTTAAGTTTATCCTTAAAATATTTCTCAATTGGTATTCGATTAAGAATTAATTCTTCATACTTTCTTCTTTAAAATATTATTCTTATAAATTAGAAGATTAAATCATTTATGTATTTAAGACAAAATATGTCAATTGTGTTTGTGACAACGTGTCACACTATCTTTTTTGCTAAGTCATTAGATTTTTAAATTATGTAGGTACTTTATGTTAATAACATAAATACAATCATCATTTATATTACATATTAAGTTTTAGATACCATTATGTTATGCAGTTCTTATAACGACAACCCTTTTATTTTTATTGCAGTGGGTCACGGGTTAGGTTACGAAACGACAGAGCTTATATAAGAGAAGAAGAGCTTATAATAGGTTAGATTTTCATCTAAACATGAATTTATTATTGTAGTGCTGTTGCTGTAAAAAAATTTTCTAAAGAAATTTGAGTGATGAATGCAAAAATAATAAATTATAAGTTATAACTTATAATTGTATCCAAAAAATAATCTGTTGAATTACATATTTTAATATAGAGTTGTTGTTTTTTGGAGAAAATATTTGTCACTTGGATAATTATTAATTTTATAGAATGTGACAAGAGATTTTAACGAGTAGTAAGAATATGCGAATTCATCAAACTTGGTCGCATGAATTTTCTCATAGTCGCAAAAAAAATTATTTAGTTCTTGCTCTAGTTTTTATCAGATATTATGAGAATTACTTTTTTGTCTTCACATTTATTAATAATATTATACTGATATATTTTATAGTTTATATTTAGAACTAAATTATTAAAATTTCGAAATAATTGTTTTTAAACTTTACATAACAATTTATACTTAATAATATATCATACTATCCCACAGTTCGTTAGTTGTATTCGTGACAAGAAACGTTAAATGAACATAACGTGTATTATAACATTTTAGAATTTAGTGTGACATAATGAAACATTTCTGATGTGACTCGCAAAAAGAAAAAACTTCCAAAAATGTGTAACTTTTTAAAAATTTTATTATATTGAAACGACGTCACTGCGTTTTATGTACGTATTCAGTAGACAAGCTTACCACCAATATGTACATAGATTTACTACGACCACCACAACAATAAATATTTAAAAAAAAAAAGAAAACAGTAATACCATGTTATGAAGGGATATAGAAACATTCACGAGCGTTATATTAGTGTAGAATATTATTAAATTTTATTGTATATAATAAGTATACATATTAACACAATAATAAAGCACTCGATGGTTGGCATTGAAAGTAAAAGTAGAAAAAAAAATGAAAAATGTAAAATAACAAAAAACAAAAACACACGAGTGGGATAAGTTTAATAACGTAATAATAACATCGTAGCAGTTACAAGTAAAAGATAAAATAATAATAATAATAATAATAATAATAATAATAATAATAGGCGCCCCTCTTCTTCGCCGTCGTACACTCACACCGATTACTCTTCATTTCATTCAGTTACCGTGCGTTGTCTATCGCGGCGTTGAGTTGCGTCAATCCGGCTGGCTACAAGGCTGTTGACCCAGTTAATGGTTATCATAATAATAATGTTCTAATATTATTTTGCCGATCCGCGTAGAATACGTTGCGACGGCGATCAGTCCTCGTGAGTTGCCAGAACGAATACTATTATAATTTATAATATATTATACATATAATATTGTAATATATTACGCAGCTCTGCTGCAGTTTCCTGAAACTATGGCTCGGTGGCGCACGGACCAATTCGCGACAGGTAATCTTTGTCCTGAGCATAGATATAAGTTATTTTTACGAACGTAATATTATATTACAGCCATATACGGTTTAATATATACACATAAGTACATCGACGTACATCGAAATATCTATTTATAAAATAATATAATTATTTATGATATAATAAAATATAATAATAAACTACACGTTGATGTATTTTTATTAAAATTTGTTTTATTAATTTTTTTACTTTTATTTTAATATTATAATATATTATTTATGTGTGCTGATCGAGACTTTCGTTGATCTTATTTTCTGCAGTGCCGTTCGTATACACAACGTTCCCAGTCGCGGTGCAATTAGTAATAGCTGCGGTGGTGGGTCTATCTTCGTCAGTGTCAGGTTCGGAATGGACTAACTCGACGGACGTAATCCGGGTAGTTCAGTTCAGCAACAGTCTGGTACCTCCTCTGTTTAACGTACGTATTGTTTCTTATTATTTATTTTTTCAACATTTTGTAATATAATCGTAGCATAAAATATTATATACAACGGATATTATTTTAGTGGCGTGTTTAAAATAAATTCTTAGGTACGTAAAGAATAATTTTTCTAAAAGTTTCTCATGTGAAATCAGTAATTCCGATTCTTATATATAATACAATGTTATTATAAAAATTTAAAAAAAAATCGATTTATTAAAATGCATAGGTCTAGCTAGACACCTAAACACGCCCATTATGTTGATATTACATTTTATGCTCTCGTTTATTTTTAAAATAATAATAAATTTAATTACATATTCAGCATTACTCCAGAGGCCGAGACAACCTGGTTTTGGCGCCTTTCGGGGTGGCTACTAATGTGGCCATGATGCTAGAAGGTTTGCAAGGTCGGGCCGCCGAAGAAGTAACCGCTTTGTTCCGGCTCCAAGCAAAGGAAGTGCGCCAACAGCTGAGGAGAGGTTTTAAAATGATTTTTGATTCGTTCGGGGTAAGGCTAAAATGTTACCTTTAAGAAGCTATACCAATATTTCATTTTTGTTAATTGTTTAATTAACAGTCATTATATAGGTACACTCATCATTTTAGAAAAACATTCAGAAAAAAAATTATCGTGTCATCGGAAATGATGGTCGGGCCATTGGTCTCAATAGTTTAATAATAATAATGATATTGATATCTTGTATTTACGTAAATATTATATTGATTTGAATTAAAAAATTTATTTACAGGATGACTCGGATGGTGATTTTGCCGGATCTTACAACAAAGCATCTGTGACCAGTTCCCGAGTTATGCCATCGTCATACATTAACAGACTTTCGAAATATTACCAGGCTAATGTTACCACAATAAAAAGCGAGCATTCGAACAACAGCTTAAGTAATAACATAATATTAGTACCTAATAACATCTAAACTATATGTCCTTATAACTTATATTATTCTATGTAATCATAAATTGCAGTTGTAAAATATAAACAATTTCGACATTTTATGAAATATTTTCATTTTTGAAATCATTAACGGTTAATTTTAATAATATTTTTGATATTTCGAAATCAAAATAAAAGTCTTATAATTGAATTTATTTCATGATAAATCTGAACTTTAAAAGTTCTCAATATGTTGTACTAGAAATTTCAAAACTATTTAGTATTTTTAAACAACATATTTTAATTCAATTATTTTTATTTTTAAAAATTCATTTATTTATAATATTGGGCATTACTACTATGCAAATTTGTTAAATTAATTGTGTTTGATTCAAAAAGTGATAATAAAATTAATAATTAATAAGTGTTTATTACATAATGGTAGGTAAAGGATTGAACCATTAAAATTATTAAATGGTTAAAAAAATGTTGAGGCATAGTATTTTTTTTGGCCTTTACCTTCTCGATATGATCATACTAAAAATGTTTAAACATTATTATGTACAATGTACACGCATTATTAATAATGAACATTTTGTATTAAACTTGATTTAATTGTCTAATCATTCATTGATAAAAAATAACAATTTACAATGTATTATATTTGCATAATAAGTTAAGTAAATAATGAAATACTCAATTTATTAAAAAACTCTATATCTAAAGTACTATTTAATTTGGAATTCAGTTAAAGGAATATAATGTACTAACTCGGTATGTTACATTAACGTTTTATATCCAATATAATTTATAAATCTAGATATGATTTATTTTCAGGTGATATTCTAGAACTAAGGAGCGATACTGGAATAATAAGTCACTGGAAAGACTACCAAAAACTAGCCACATACACTTACTTAACTTATCAGCCATCAGCACCGTTTACTAAAGCTGACGGTTCAATTGTCCATGTCCCAATGATACCACAGACAGGAATGTTTAAAATCGGATACGTACCACAATTAAAGTGTTTAGCTGCTGAACTAATGTTTGAGGTAAGCTCGTGACTATTTTTAGATCCGCATATTCACAATTTATAATTTAAGATTATTAGTTGGCCCAAAGTCCCAATATTGATTGGCCTCTTCTCTCACGCCGTCTGTTTTAACCTTTCCCTTGTTCATATTCTAAAAATTGTTCTTTACAGATTGTAAAAAGAAAAAAATTTAAAAAAAAAGAAAAGCTCTAAATATTAACAATTGATAATTTTATTATATCATGATTTAATGATTAATGACGTATGTACATAATATAATTATATATTATTATTACGTATTAGTCTGTAATTTGTATCATTTAACGCATTGATATATTTTATAAATTTCTATAGGAACTTACTATAACAATATTTTGTGTTGTACCATGATGACAAATTATTATTTTGTTTTTAACATTTTCGTAGACTGTAGTGGTTTACATTTTAAAATTACCAAATAATTATTAATTTATTATAATACACATATTATTATGGACATTTGAACAATTTAATTAATACTTATTTTAATAGTTTTGCAATAATTAAATTAAATTATTTTAAGTTTAATTAATATGTTTGCGCATGTTTTTGTTAACAATTAATTAATTTAACAATTTATTTTTATTACTATATTTACAATAGGTATATTTTTTGACACTAATAAGTAATAAATTATTTTTCTATTGTCTATAATCTAAATTTATAAATATCTTAAAAATTACTACTTGTTGGTTGAAAAAAACCCATGGCAATGGTCATTGAACAATAATATAAATAATATTTTGTATCGCATATTTTGCGAGTTAATAACAATGGAATCGTCGTTTGATAATTAAATCAATCGTTCAATGCCGAAATGCTTGTGTATTGGCGAAATGTCAAGAACAGTGTCAGTGAGTCAGTTATATTATGTGTGTTTATACCTTACAGTGTGATTTTAAGTTATTCGGTAGAGAATTATCAATTTTTATTGCGTTATAGAAATACAATATAGTAAAAGTTCATCACGAATTTACTACAATCAATTCGCTATTGCTCGACAAATTACAATTCAAAATTAAACTTATATCATGTTGATATCATGGCTGAAATTGTGATCTGTGATCCATACTATTACTTAAGTCTGATAAGTAGATTTTCAGATTCGATCTTCCTACTTGCAAATTAATGATATTCTGTAATCAGATGCATACCCAAAAATACTGTTAGTTCAGGTTATTGAGTTTTTAAAATTACGATAATAATAATAACTCAGCACACGTGCTCATAAATTGGTATTATCACGCAGGCTTATATGTATTTAATTTTATTTAAATTTTCAAACAAAAACTTACTCTAAAATATTAATAAAATTTAATTATATAGTTTCAAACAAAATAAGGAATATACTTTTAGCTTTTTTAACCCCCGTAGTTTGTTAATTTCTAAAGGTGGTTCACATATGCATTTTGTTTTGAATAATGAAAATTGAATAATTTTTTGTTTAAATATTGTTACAGAAATAATTTTATTGAAGTGTATAACAAAAAGCAATATATTCATTTTTGGAGCTTATATAGGTTCAAAAATTATTCGAAAGATATTTACTTAAGTTTCAGAGATTGTTCATTAAGATCTCAGAAAATTTTAGAGTGTAGTTTTCACCACACGTTCAAAAATATACTAAATGCTAATTGTTATATCCAATCTGCTACGGGCAGATTATCTATCTCGGTTGAATTAGTTCACAAAACAAGGTACATCGATATCAATTTTCTCACAAACTGAGGAATTTACAGTAAAATACATTTATATAGCGTGGTATTTTATGTTTTTAGTTGATTTTTTTTCATGCAAAGCCGGGTTATACAGCTATAGCCTATAGCGTGTGTAAATACATAATAATATGTTATAATATTTTACTAACGTCAATTATCATTATCACTGTGGTCATATTTTTCGGTTTGCAGACCGACAAAGTGAGCATGCTCATTATGATGCCGGACGACGTTAACGGTTCCGAGTTGATGATCGAGCGGCTGTCCAAAGATAACTTCTTGGACATTCTGGACTCACTGGGCTACCAGAACACAGAGGTTCTATTGCCACAGCTAGCTGCATTCACAAATGGTCTGGATTTGGAATCGTTCTTCAAGAAGCTTGGCGTCAAGGCAGCTTTCAACCAGACGATGGGTGGCGGCGCCGACAACAAAACTTCATCGATGAGTCGCGGTCACGAGTCCAAGTCTCCCGTAGTCACTTTGGTATCGATGAAACAAAACGCGTACTTTTCAATGTCGTTTATCACAATCAATTCAGTTGGCTCGGTTGGCACAAAGTTAGGTGGGTAACAAGTATCTAATACCAGTATCTTATGTATATCCAGTGGTGTATTGGATGGAGTTGATGGGGACAAATTCTCTCCTCCCCTTGGCCCAATTAATTAGTTCTTGTGTAGAAATATATACTATATAATAGTTTTATGGCCCCCTTAAAACTAAGTAAAATATGCTATTGTATATATTTATCGTAATTTTATCAATAAAAGTAATCATTACACAATTTGATATAATTATTATTTTACAATAACTAAATAAAATGCTGTAAATTTATGAAATTGATCTATTCACAAAAGTCATTTTAGCCATTAGCTGTGATGTGAGTTGGAGTTCATAATAATAAATACAACATTATAATAAAATTAACAGTATTACTAAAAATAGGAGGGATACATTTAAAGTATATTTTAAAATGAAAAATTATAAAAATACGTAGTATTAATACATTTTATTTATAATTTTAAGTCATAAAGAATGTAAAATATTAATGTAATTTTATATAACATAATGTCATAAGGTACCTATTGAAAGAAGAAAAATTAATTTTTAATAAAACTCACATTTTGCAAAATACAAATAATATAAGTATATAAAACTGATTAAAATTATTTCTCATTTTAGGAATAACAAGTATCTATTATTGTATTATCCATGTCATAATATTTCCATGTCATAATTTTTTTAAATTTAAATATAAACAAACATACATTTTTATAATAATATGATGAATTTTAACTATCTATTTAGTCCATAGTGTTAGTAGCGTGTAGATGTAAATATTATAGTATAAATTATGTAAACATCTAGATATTTTACATAGTTCACTTAATTAATCACAAATTTATCGGTATTGCTAATAATGCTTGACATACCTACTATTAATTATTACTATTTTATATCTCAAATAATCTAATATTAAATTTTTAATGATAAAATGTATTTTTGTTTAATTTATTGTATCCTACGTAATAACTAGTCACTTGTCAGTTGTCGGTATATCGTTTTCATCTATTGCGATATTATTGGTATTTCTGACTATAACTCGTTATTTTAATGTCGTATAACATCGGATTTTATAATGTAATTTAAAATTCCTACATTCTATTACAGTCCTTGAAAAAAATATTAATTTATACATAATAGATCTAATCGTAGCAGCCTAACTTAGCAAATTTTTGAAAGCATAACAAATATTGGATAACTAAACGCGCTATGTGTTGATTACACGCAAACCGCCTCAGCTATCTGCTTCATGGAAACCGTTTTTAATGAGTTTCATTATAATGATTCTTGATCACTGATCAATAATTGTTGTAGATAAATTTGATACAAACCTAACCTAACCGAAAGCCACCTCGTACCTCACTTTTTGTCATAGTACATAACCTAGGAATTAATTTTATTTATTTATTTATTTATATGAAGGCTGTAGATTATAGGTATATTGAATATATTAGCTCTCAGCATCTCATTTATACCATTGTGCATGCATACATGTTTAAAGGTTGTTGTTTATTTTTATGCGTTGAATGTAGGTATGCTGTACGATATATTTATGTATATGTACATAGGTATATACATAAATTTTAATAATTAATTTAAAATTAAAATTACGTATACAAGTTAAGTTATATTCGATTTCGTTAAAAATACCTTCCTAAATACTCAAATAAATAAATACGATTAATCCTTAAGTTATATGATGATTAATATTCAGGGCAACTGAGTGAGGAGGCTGTGGAATCATAAAATATATATAGTATTACAGGACTACGGACTACCTATGAATAAAAAAATCACCTAAAAAATGAACAATATTTTTAACGAGCATTGCTTTTGTTGAAAAGAATGCTGATAAAGCTTGAATAAATATAAGTAATTTTATTGAAACCTTGCTACGGCGACATGTAATACTTTTTGCGGTGACTGTTACCTTACCTAGAATAGAATATTTTAAATCCTAGATTTATATCAGATAATTATAAATCTTTTCATATGTATTTTCACATAGATGTATTTATTTTTGTATATTAAATTAACATATATCATAAAAAGAAAAATATTTATTTTAAAGTTTAAGTGTTAAATTATATAAATAATATGCTTGTATTACTTACATGGAATACACTTAAATTTATCTAGTTTTATTTTAATTTGTTTCAGGTATCCGTCCGTCTGCTTCGAGACAAAGACGAGGCATTGCTACTAAAGCAGTATTTGACAGACCGTTTGTATTTTTTGTTTATAACAAATTAACTGGACTAATTATGTTGGCAGGTAAAATAACAAATCCTACACAAGTGCCTACCACAAGTTAGCAATTCACAAATAATAGTAATTATTCTTCTATGTTTAATAATAAGTGGGTATTTATAATTTATATAATTATTATTTATTACCTAGTTATAAATTATACATACTAATTTAAATTTAATTTAGAATTAAAATGTTTTAATTTAAATTGTATATGAAACATTTATTTGTAAATAAATCTTTATTTTTGTATAATTGTATGTATACTTTAATTTTGTTTTGTTTTTTAAATTTTTATATGACCAGGTATACGGTTTAATGATGGATATAGCCATGTATAGATATGTTATAAAGACTAGTTGTATAATAATATTTAATCCATATGTTATATGTACTATGGAAGTATTAATTTAAAAAATATTTAAGTACCCACTACTTCATTCATTCATTCAATCATCACTATTTAGTGTTCAAATAATTTAGTGCTATTTCGTGTTTTTGTACACATATAAGTATATAACCATTGATTATAAATATTAGTATTTATAATCAATTATATAACTAATATCACACTTTAAAATAATATATACACATTAACACTTCCACCTAAATATTAATATGATGATGGATATTTAAAAATACCATTAAATTAATTATATCTATTAAATGTAGGACACATTTTATTAGAATTTCAAAATATTATAAATAAGATATGTACGAGTATTATACGTGTACATAATTCAATTTTTAATTTATATCAGTATCACGTATTTCTACTTGTATGTGCTTAAAATGTTTAAGGAAATTTAAAGACTAACAATAGGATTTTAATTAATACTAATAATAAGTATACTATTTGTTAAGTTATTGCGTCCCGATGACAACGCCGATTCATATATCAACGCAGAAATTAAAATACTTGATATATTTAATATAAAGTAAATCTTTATTTGATTTAGACATAGACATAAAAATACATTATTGTAAGTTCAAGACGTTGGTGAGCGGTGTTACGACCTGACTCCAAAAATACTGCTAAACAAGATTGTGAGTGGTGTTACAACCAGCCTCTGAGCGTCTTGGATATCCTAACCGTCTGCCGAGCTTTTGCCCAGGTCTTCCTTATAAATGGTTGATTTACAAAGAATTGATTGTGGTGGTGACGACTTCCGATGATACGAGAGTTCTTGCATTTCAGCATTTGATCATTATTCTCGTCAACTCTTGCACTCTGAGAGTTTGGACTTTTCTAAGAAGTGAGCGACGTGTGATTATATCTAAATTGTCTTAATTAAATAATGCAATGCTCACACTATCCGCCCTGATCTTATACATTAGTAATATTGTCTTGTCTTATTAAATAATTGGAATATATGCTACCACACCGTACAATATACATGTTTTAAAATAAATTAAATATTATATGGTTCGTAACAAATTACTACATTTTAGATATTTTAGTATTTAGTATATATAATTATATAAATGTGTGTCTAAAATAGGTAGACAAGTAAGTATTAAAATATTAATAAACTGGAACCCAATTTTATTGAAATAGTTTTAGTTTAATTAACGAAAATAAAAGAGGAAAAATATATAATATAATTAGTCATTACTGGTTAATATCTTATTTTTACTTTCTTATAGCGATTAACAAAATATAATGTATTGCTATAAGTTGAAATGGCACCAATTATATCAATACATTTATAATCAATAAACTTACATATGTTTGTTTGAAAATGAGTGTTATATCACTAAATGTTAACATGCGTAATTAAATGACATACAAATATAATCTCGATTATCGATTGAATAAATTAGATTTCATTTTAACAATCTTAGGATCAAAATAAACAAAATTCAAGTCCGTTAAAGATTTTTCACTTGTAAAACTTTAATATAAATAAAAATAATTTAATCCAACACTTAACTGTAAGCTAATTTAAAAGATATTAGTAAAAACATCTAAAAAAATTCATGCATATGCAATACATTATAAAAAATGTTTCACAGTCTGATGTTCAATTTATAATTTAAGACATTAAACAAAACCTTTACTAACTAAATTTTGCAGGGCCCCCGAGCATAATTTTAATAAAATCACTTTATTATATAGTTATAAGATTCACCATTCAATAGAACAGATTATTAAAAATGAAATATGCTTAAAATTTATAATTTAAGTACATTTAAGGTTTAGCATGACTCTTGGTTGCAATATTATGGCTTGTAAATCAAATGCTTATAATTTATAATAATTATTAAAATGTAATATTTACAAATTTAATATTTATTATTTATATATAATATGCATGATATGAATTTTCAATATACAATAAATGAAGATTATTGAATTTGGAGGTAGTTTCGTTTAATCTATAATAGATTAAATAGGAATTGGCATTTTTAAGTTAAAAAAAAATATATTAAAAAACTGATTAAATCAAGTTTAAACTTTTTAAGGTTTAGGTATCTACTTAGCGTGGGTACGATAATTGATTAACTTAATCTGGTTAAACCTTACCAAAAACAGAAAAAAATATTTTTTATAAGATAGCTAATCTAATATTGTTAAGCTTGATTTATACATATCTGTAGAAAAGAAATAGAATATATAGCCTATCTCTGAAAATAATAATTTAAATATTATAGTTTTATTGAAAGTCAAAGTAATAATGGCGTTTGACAACTTTGTCAGGCTGAGTTTACTTAGTTATTAGATCTTACTAATAAGTTATTTTTTTTTTTTAATAAAAAATGACCTGTCTTATCATCATTTTAGTTTTGATTGATGTTTTACCGTTTGTGATTCATAAAAATGACTGTAATTTAAATATTCAAATATATATATATAACTAGTTTGAGTACAAAAAACACAATGGTGTATGCAGTGTTTTTCAATGAAGGAGGGGGGGGGTTGAAAATAAATAATTACTCAGTTGTCACAGGATTATAGGCTTGAAAAATAAAGTAGGCACTTTTATTTTTCTTATTTATATGAAGCATAAAATATAGAAATTAATATGTGAAAATAACTAACAAAAATAATGGGCAATAAAATACATTTTTATTTTGTCTAGTCTAATAACTGTAATTGTTTTTATGATGTTTTTAAAAATTGTTGTTGAACTTCCAACTTGGTCAAATCTTATTTTTGTTTATATTAGCTACAGCTAATTCATTAAGACTTTTCTTTATCATCATTGTTCTTAAGTACGATTTTAAACATTTCAATGTTGAAAAGGTTCTTTCTGGTGTAGCTGGGGTAATCGGCAATATGAAAAACAGTCTTATCATCACTTGAAATAAATTTGTACATTGAGGTAGTGTATCAATGATTGATTGTGGCTTGTTATTCTTATTATACTACTGACATCTCAACATATGTAGTTCAGCTCTAAGACATGAACTATCACTATATGACGTAAGATCTTTATTTTTTGACATAAATCATAGCTGTCTTAAAAATCAAGTCGTATTTGTAAGAACTAAAATTTGAGAGAATTAGTCCTTTCAGTGGCATAAACTCAGATACTCTGTCATTGAATCGCATTTGCAAAGTTTGTATTATATAATTAAGAAATGACAAATACACAAACATTTTAAAATATGTTTTTTGATCTGTAACATTTATGTTGATTCGATGAGTTTGTCGTTCACAAATTCGTGGCATACTTATTTCAAAATCAACTGAATAATAATAATAATATTTATTTACCTTTATAAATGGACAGAGCCCTCTAGGTATACAAACATTTAATACATATTAAAATTGCAATAATGGTAGTAATTATAACTATTAGAAATCTAAATTTATTTATCTTAATGAGTAGAGTGCTCTTGTTAATTAATTTTATAGTACGGTTTATTTGGTTAAATTAATTATATCTATCATGATTAGTAGGATAAAAGATATTAGAGTTAATAAGAGTTGCTTATTATTTATTCTATATAATAGTATAATAGTATACTATTTCAGTTGATCACTATAATACTCGTACGTTAAATTATTGAACAATGTATTTTTGTGGAATGAAAAAATTGGTTTCAGTTTTTTTTTTTTTAATTCTTACGTTCAAAACCTCATTTTGATTAGATAACGATGTATTAAATACATATTAATTTTTATTACAAAGGTTTAACATTAAATTTTAATGAAGTATGAATAATAAAAAAAAGATTATAAACATAATGTTATTTCATTTTTATTTATAATTAAAATATCACCTTAGATTGAATGTATGTATTCTAAGTTGTTTTACGAGTATTTAATTTATATTTACCAAACCAAAATAAATACTGCCATATTATTATCGATAGGGGGTTTCAAATCTGTCATGATGGAGAGTATCAGAACATTTCGAATGAAATTCCACCTGTACTCAGAAGAGAAAAATTACTTTTGTTATATTAATAGTAAGTGTAAGTGTGTAATAAACATATGTATATGTACAAGAAGCCGAGAAAAAAAAATAAAAACCGTATATAAAACATTATTATTACTATACTTTATTGATTTTTCTTCTTAATATTATACTTTATTGAGTTAATTAACAAATTAGAATCAAATATATCATATTATTATTATAATATTTAATGTGGGTGATACTATCATATTGTGTAATAGCACTGATAAAAAAAATTATAACACTTTGATGCCGTAATTGACTGTATTTATAACGACCCCATCTTAATAATTTAATATAAAAATGCAAAAAAATTTTTTATAAAAATACATTTTTAAATTATTTTATACGTCCAAAATAAATAAATTACTATACCTAAGTTCGATAATGGATAAAAAAAGAATTATTAAATATTGGAAATAAAATATTTTTCTTAATTTTAAACATGAACCAATAAAAATAGTATAAATGTTTGATCAATAAACGAGACAAATAATAAATAATTAATTTTCTAAAACAAAAATTATTATGAAATTTAATTTTACCTTTAAAAAACAGTGAGTATTTTAAATATTAAAAGAGTTGAATTGAAAAGAGTTCTACTTGTAATTTATTAGCATAGCAACAACATTTAAAAAAATTTTGATATCATATCA